AGCATCTGAAGGCTAGGCTGATCTTTTATAGGGCGCACTATTTAATCTAGGGAGGGCAGGGATCACCAGATATGCCACAATTAACACAATACTTCATTCATGATTCGGTATTAATGTGACTTTTGCAACATTTTGTGATTTGCTGTGTATTGAAATAACATATATTGCAAGTTATCAACTTTTTCTAGTCCAACTTATGCCCTTAAATTTAAACTAATCAATCAGCCAATCAGAAAAAAGTTATCTTACTTGAAAATGAGATTTTTAAGCATACCAACCAAACACCTGCCAGAAATGTTGCATGTTGGCAATTGCATGCAGTCTTTTTCTGATAATACAGCAATTCACTGTGATAAATTGTAGAAAATCAAATACATGTTAATGTCTACATAGTCAGAAATTCAAATTTAAGTAACTTCCCGCTCCATAGGAATAGGAAATCCCAGTATCACATTTGCAAGCTGCTTTGCCACCGCCTTCAACCCAGCTCCTGCTTCTACATTTATCACTTTATACTTTCCATGTATGTGTGGAAGAGCAGGAAAACCCTAGAACAGAGCCATGCTGAAAAATATGGTAAATGGACTGATTCTTATACAGTGCTTTTCTACTCTCCCGGAGTACTCAAAGCGCTGTATACAACATGCCTATATATAAATGACTGCGCATGGAAACATGGTGTTTCGGCAACCCTGATGAAGGCCACAAGCCGAAAGTGTTGGTCTGCAAATAAAGCTGTTCCCTTGTGTTTTAAATGTTGCTGGAGTCTTCACCTCACCAGATCATTGTCCCCCTCCACGCAGTCTTGGAAGTAGGTGAGGTTGTTCCTAAAACCTGGGGCTCTCTCCACATGGAAACAGTCTTCTGGCCGAACTGTCTTTAATGGGAATTGTAAAAGTATCTCTGTTCTTCTTTGCCTTTACTCTCCACCTAGATCTTCATCCACATGCTCCCTCCTTACCTGGGCATGCTGCGGCCAAAGGTGGAGACCCCCCTGTCTCTGGAGACCGTACCCCGCCGGGAAAAAAAAGTCACTGCAATTAGCATAGCTTCTGACGAATACTTCATCCGGAAACCTGACTCTTCCATTTTATTTCCCAAACCCAACAGGTAAAGCCAGGCTTATACGTGCACATGCTTGCTCTCGTGGTTGTGAGTGTGCCTGGATTTGGTTTAGCCTGCATGTTTGAAGAAAAAGCAAATGAACCCAGAAACAGCATGTGTGAAGTGGAGCGGGTGAACAGTTGTTGATTCAGGCAAAACCCGGACAGATGGATATGAGGAGATTCCATTGATCATTAGTAGGATGAGAAGCGACTGCTCTTGTCTCTGTTATGTCTTATGGGATTCTTCAAGTGAATCACATACTGGTATATAAGTTTAATTCCATTATATATATATATATATATATATCATTAGATGCGTTTTCCAAATATTACTTTAGAAACAATACTTGTGCAGTAAGATAAGATCAAATACATTAAGAATAAACAAATTTGATTTGATGTCATGTCGAAATGGATTCAAATATATATCACTTTAGTGTCTACACAACCTTGCACTCATAGAAGTTCAGGTTTCCTCCTTAGCGCTTACCACCTCAACTTAGGACAAATTAAAATTCTGTTATATTTTAGGTGCTTTTTTCACTTTGAATTGAATTCAACAGTGTTTAAAAGCACAGAGCCTCTTGAACAGACAAACACCATATTTAAAGATACCAAATGCTACCATAACAATAGCAGCAGCTGCAGCACAAGAAGTAATTCCTCTCCTCTTCTGTCACCTATACGTGCACACATTTATTACATTGTGCTGCATAATATATTCTCTCAGTGAGGCCAACGAAATCTATCCAATGTTTTTTGGCTCACAATAAGGAAAAAGAAGAAGAAGAAGAAGAAGAA